CAGGGGCGGAGCCGGGGCCAGGACAGGGGGCTTGGGCGGGGCCGAACTCGACTTGGGAGGCCCCGTCGGCTCGCCGCTCTGGTCCCGCGCCCCGGCCTTCGTGCATCTCCTTGCAGCGGTCTGTACCTGGGTGGAAGGCTGAGGTGCAGGCAGTCATGGCGCTGCGTGCTGCCGTGTTCGACCTGGACGGGGTCCTGGCGCTGCCCTCGCTCGCCAGCTCCTGGGACCGTGCGGAGGAGGAGCTGGCGCTGCCCAGGTAAGGGGACCCGGGCCGCTGCCCGCACTCAGAAGCCTGCGCGGGTGTGTCCGGGCGGCAGGGGCGCGACCCCTGGGAGAAGTTGCCTTTCGGGACGCCCAGCTCTGGTTTCAGGTTGCTGTAGGGCGAGAGCGCCAGGTGAAAGGTTAAAACAATTACTCGACCCTAAAGTACCAGTGTGTGTAACTAGATCCACTGTCTTTCTGAATGCTGATTATTTAAATCTCTCTAAGGACTCCAAAATTGACCTTTATATTGAAAGCTTTTCTGTTTTTGTGTGTGGTACGCGGGCCTCTCACTGTTGTGGCCTCTCCCGTTGCGGAGCACAGGCTCCGGACGCGCAGGCTCCGGACGCGCAGGCTCCGGACGCGCAGGCTCAGCGGCCGTGGCTCACGGGCCCAGCCGCTCCGCGGCATGTGGGATCTTCCCGGACCGCGGCACGAGCCCGTGTCCCCTGAATCTGCAGGCGGACCCTCAACCACTGCGCCACCAGGGAAGCCCCTGCAGCATTAGTATAAGAAGGCTGTACAAAGGGGTAATCATAGTTCACATTTATTCCTTCTAAACTTCATTTCACAAGAGACTGGGATGGACGTATTCTGGGTTGGCATACAATACCTGGAGCATGATATTTTATTCTAGAAATACATTTTGCTTTGACAAAGAAGAGTGTGACTAGAGGCTCATGGTCAGGATAGTGACAGACCTGTAACTATATGTACAGAATCTAGAAAAGAAGGGCAACAAAGCTATTACTTTACTAGATATGACAACCAAAACGAATACAGAGGATCCAAATATTTCATGAAGAATCTTTTGGCATCTCTCTCTCTCTCTCTCTCTCTCAAGGGTCTGTGGCCGCTGGCTCTTTCTCAGGCCCCGCTTCTCTCCGGGCCGAAGTGAGATTCTAGCCCCGGGTCCAGGCGCCGGGAGGCGGTGGGGATGGAGCCCAGGCCGCCGTGGGTGCGGGTACATCAAGGGAGGCCCGGTGGGACGAAACGCCGGCGGCACCAGGACAAGGGGTTGGAGCGGAGGTGGGGCGTGGTCAAATCCGGGACAGGGGGCAAGGCGGAGGCCAGGGCAAAGGGGTGAGGGGGGCCAGGGCAAGGGGGGGAGGGGGGTCGGGGCCAGAACAGGAGGCGGGGCGGGTGTGGGGCGTGGTCAAGTCCGGTACAGGGGGCGAGGCGGAGGCCAGGGCAGGGGGTTGGGGGCGCCGGGGCCAGAACAGGGGGCGGGGCTGAGGCCGGGGCAGGGGCGGAGCCGGGGCCAGGACAGGGGGCTTGGGCGGGGCCGAACTCGACTTGGGAGGCCCCGTCGGCTCGCCGCTCTGGTCCCGCGCCCCGGCCTTCGTGCATCTCCTTGCAGCGGTCTGTACCTGGGTGGAAGGCTGAGGTGCAGGCAGTCATGGCGCTGCGTGCTGCCGTGTTCGACCTGGACGGGGTCCTGGCGCTGCCCTCGCTCGCCAGCTCCTGGGACCGTGCGGAGGAGGAGCTGGCGCTGCCCAGGTAAGGGGACCCGGGCCGCTGCCCGCACTCAGAAGCCTGCGCGGGTGTGTCCGGGCGGCAGGGGCGCGACCCCTGGGAGAAGTTGCCTTTCGGGACGCCCAGCTCTGGTTTCAGGTTGCTGTAGGGCGAGAGCGCCAGGTGAAAGGTTAAAACAATTACTCGACCCTAAAGTACCAGTGTGTGTAACTAGATCCACTGTCTTTCTGAATGCTGATTATTTAAATCTCTCTAAGGACTCCAAAATTGACCTTTATATTGAAAGCTTTTCTGTTTTTGTGTGTGGTACGCGGGCCTCTCACTGTTGTGGCCTCTCCCGTTGCGGAGCACAGGCTCCGGACGCGCAGGCTCCGGACGCGCAGGCTCAGCGGCCGTGGCTCACGGGCCCAGCCGCTCCGCGGCATGTGGGATCTTCCCGGACCGCGGCACGAGCCCGTGTCCCCTGAATCTGCAGGCGGACCCTCAACCACTGCGCCACCAGGGAAGCCCCTGACCTAAGCTCAGGTTTCTAGAGAAAAAAGTCCTGTGCCCTGCACGTTATAGCAGCAAACCAGAAATGGCCCCAAAGCCTAAGCACTGGAAAATGGTAGACAAGGAAGCATCACCAGTAAACGTGACGTTCAGGAAGAGATTTCAGTGACATCAGAAAATATCTGTTATAATAAGTGCAAAAAAACTAATCCACCAGAGTGTACAACTATTTATACAACATGGAAACTATGGAAAAACTATTTTTCAACTATGGAAAAAAGCTACATGTTGAAAATGCCTGGAAGAAATATACCAAATACCAAATATACCAAAATATACCAAATATACCAAATATACCAAAATATCCCTCTGGCTGCACCAATTTACATTCCAGTCGGCGCTGTACAAAGGTTTCCCTTTCTCCACATCCTTGCCAAAACACATTATTGCTTGTCTTTTTGATAATAGCCATTCTAACAGATATGAAGTGATAGCTCACTATGGTTTTGATTGCATTTCCTGGAAGCTCTTTTAACCACGGTGTTGGTTTTTGGCCCATAAATTTTATTTTTTTTTGAACACATAAAAAGAGAGTAAGCTACAATATGAGATATGTTTGTACCTGTGACCTCGTCAATGTGGGAGTGAACATGACTTGTGAATATACAAGTCACAAGTATACTTGTGAGTGTACCAGTGAATATACTTGAGAGTATATTTGTGAGTACACAGGTCACAAGTGTACAAGTTTACAGATGTGGGAAATTTCAAAGAGCACTGGTCTCTGAGTCAGACCCAGGTTAAAATCTCAGTTCTAACACTTAGCGTTGGGTGACCTTGCTTAACCTGACTTAGTCAACTCAACTGAGACCTTAGTGTTAGTCTTAAAATAAGAAAACACCTCCCCCAGAAATTTTTGTGCTAGTTAGATTAGATGACATGTAAGGTGGGTGGGTAACTGTGTTCCTGATGCTTCTTTTTATTTATTAAAGTCTCATGCACATTCAGAGTGATTATTGGGCATATTTCGTTCATCTAGTGTGACACTGACTCACACATTCTCCCTGTGACCACGGTCACGATTGTTCCCAGAAGCCATAAACAGGTTATAGCAAACCTAGCTGACCCCAGGAGGTCAGAGTCCGTGACTTTGACCTTATTAGCCTATGGAGTCTGTGAACTAACCATGAAGGTGTGAATTCAGACAGTGAGCCTCAAGGGCCTACCTTGCACTGGGCATTTCCAGCTTGCTTGCTATCTGGTATAAAAACTCAGACATCCACAGATGCCATAGTTCAAAATGAAGGCAGTGCCACGAGAGGTACAGAGTTCTTAGTTGCTTCAAAGGAGGGAGAGATTAGGTCTGATCAGGGGGAATCAGGAAACAGAGGCAGACCCTGAGAAGACTGATAGGATGCTGATGAGGAGAGATGTGAAGGGAGGACTTTCCAGGTGAGCAAAGGCTGGGAGGTGGAAAGCAAGGAGAGTTCACAAAACACTGAATATTACAGCCTAGCCAGACAGGAGAGAAGGCATGAGAGGGAAGTGGGGCAGTTGGCTGGGCCTGCATTGTAGCAGCGCACGAAAGTCAGGCTGAGCATGTACCTAATTTGATAGCAGTTGACTCTGAGTTGAGTTGGGGTGGAGGTGTAGTAAAATAATTGTTACTCACCATCAGCTGCGGTGATGGATCAAGTACACTGGCAAGAGGAAAGAGGCCACTGCTCCCAGTTTAAGATTTGAGAGTTTGGCAGCTGGAGGGGGGAACGGTGTGGAGAGATGGTGAAGCCCGGTGGAGACTGGAACGGAAGCAGACGAGACCTTCTTGAGCTAGGAGTTTGCAGGGTCACTGGCATGGAAGACGAAGATAAGGATGAAGAATCCAGGCTGCAGGGCCCAGCGGAGGACAAAGGAAGCCTGTGAGGATGGTGTTGAAGCCGAGAGTGGATTAGGGGGTGAGGACCCAGACATCTGTCAATACCTGCCTGAGGACAAGGTGGTGCGGGGGCCAGTGGCTGTGCTGAACTCCAGCAGTGGAGAGATTGTTGAATACCTGGGGTGAAACAGAGAGATGCAGATTCCTCCAGCATCATACAGGGGAAGGAGGGAGAGGGAGCTCCAATCTCATCTGTGGTCCTCCAGAGCAGAGGCCGCTGAGGGTGTGCTTGCTGGAGATGGTGATGCCTTGGCAACTGAGGCTGACGTGATCTGGAGGAACCAGGATGGTTCCCTGAGATCCAGATCTGACATGTAGACAGTCATCGTGTGCTTCATTTAATACCTTCTCACCCAGCCTCGTGGACGGTCTGCCTGGCACCACTGGACTGACTGAACCCTTGGAATGATTAAAGTGTCCGTTTCTTTCAAAAATGTTTACCCTAGAACTTGAGGTGCTTGCCATATGCAATGCTCAGTGAACGTTTTCTGAGCATGAGAAACAAGTGACCAGCAAATACAGAAAGAGTATTTGAGAACCAGAACTTCCTACTCATATCCTGTGTGTTGTTTCAGGAAATATTTATTGAATGTTTCCAGGAGCTTCTGGGGCAGTTCCCAGATTTGGGGTTGCTCTTTGCACCTCTGGGCTTTTCTGTACTCTCTCAAGCATCTTTCCTCATTTTTAATTTTACATATGGGTTTTAATTTGACAACTGATAACAAAAATGCATTCTTCTTATGAAAATATTCAAATGAACAGAATAATGTAGAACAGGAAATGTTAAGTGCCTCTTCACCCTTCCTTGTTCCTTTCCCCATCCCAGATATCATCTTAGTTGATACATAGTTCATTTATCCAAAACCAACGGTTTAGTTTGTTTGTTTTCATAATTTTGGGGCAGTAAAATCCGACCTGTCTTCATGTGGTAGCAAGTCTGATCTGAACAAGCATGAGGCTATTTATTGCCATTATCTATCCTACTACTGTAAATAATCACACATCTCACTGTAAACATATTAATGAGTTTGATTATGAAGGCTGCTGCAGGCTCTCCTGGAGATGTTACTTAATGTGTGGTATATCTCCCATTTTACCTTTACAATCGGAAAAATTCTGACTTTTGAAACTCATGTAGTTCTGAGGTTTCAAATAAGGGATCGTCAGCCTGTCACTTACTTATATGAATTTACAGACACATTTACGCATAGATTGGTAGGTAGGTAGATTGGTAGACAGGTAGGTTAAAAAAAAACCCAATAGAATCATAGAACATGTATTGTTCTAGGTTTTAAGTTTTTTACGTAATCTTAACTATTTTATTTCATTTGACAGTTGGATATCTTTTGTGTCTATTTACATAGATCTACCTTGCTCTTTTTAACCACTCCTTAGTATTCCATAATATGGAAGAGGCATAATTTATTTAACCATTTTTCCCTGTTGGTGGACATTTATTTATTTGTTGGTTGTCACTTTTACAAATAATGTCACTGTAATTTTTTTGTAGGGTAGTTTTCTAAAAGTGGAGTTGCCAAGTAAAAGCGTATGTATTTACATTTCAAATATTGACAGATCCTGCCAAGCTGTTCAAAAAATGCTGTACCTGTCCCAACATTGCATGAGAAGGCCAGCCCAGATCCTCCCTGCAGAGGAGATGATTCTCTTAAACCTTTTTTTTTTTATAAATTTATTTCTTTATTTATTTTTGGCTGTGTTGGGTCTTAATTGCTGCGCACAGGCTTTCTCTAGTTGCAGCTAGCGGGGGCTATTCTTCATTGTGGTACAGAGGGTTCTCATTGCAGTGGCTTCTCTTGTTGCAGAGCACGGGCTCTAGGTGCAGTTGTGGCATACGGGTTTCAGTAGTTGTGGCTTGCAGGCTCTGGAGTGCAGGCTTAGTAGTTGTGGCTCACCAGCTTAGTTGCACCACGGCATGTAGGATCTTCCCGGACCAGGGCTCAAACCCGTGTCCCCTGCATTGGCAGGCGGATTCTTAACCACTGCGCCACCAGGGAAGTCCCAACCCTTTTAAACTTTTGCCAGTCAGATGAAGGAAAAACATTACCTTGTATCAGTCTGCATTTTCCTCTCCACTGTTCATTTTTGTTGGCCATTTGTATTTTTTCCTTTGGTGTTTACCTATTTATACCATTTGCCCATTTTTGTATTGGATTGTCACTTTCTTCTTGATTTCTAGGAATTCTTGATTTCTACCATGATGTTTTATGTTTTCTACTTACCATCTCTTCTGCTGATTCTTTTTTTCTCCCTTCTTTTTTCCATCTTTAGTTGGGTTGATCAAGTTCTTTTCTTCCAGCTTCCCTTGGGGAAACATCTTGTTTCTAGTCTTCTTACTGATACGTTTTGTTTCTTGTTCTCCTTAAGATTACTTTTGTTTTTTTAATATGCATATATAGTAACTCACACTATTAACATAATCTTTTCTGTCAGCAGACATGTTCATTGCTACCTGTGTTTTTCCTATCAATATAATGATGAATTTGTCTGGTGTTTGTCCTGGGCTCCTAGTACAGAGCTTCTAAAAACCCTTGGGATTTCCTGAGTGATCAGTGTGTCTTTGTTGTGCTAATGAGGT